TAATGTCTTCTGTCTAGACAGCCCACTACTCAAAATTCATTTAGTGAGCAGGCAGTGTCTTAACTGTGGAACTGCAAAAGCTGCACATTGAAAATGTCTGAGAAAGACAAGGACTACTGCAAGACCATGAAGAGAAACCTGAGGCCATGTAAGAGATTAGTACCATGGGACAGATATAAGATGGTTTTAGGTAAACTTCACAGACTAAAAATTAGAGCTTCACATATATGAAATGTTTTCTTTCAAAACTTAAGCTCGTGTCTACTTCTCACCGCTAGCTGCACGCCCACAACAGTGAAACAGGAAGAAAACTCATCTAACAACAAACTTTCTGGCTTCTGTTTGGTTTTGCTAACACAAGGCTGAAGCTCTAGGGGCGACCTGCTTACTGACAGAAGTTTAATATACCATAAAAATATCCCAAAGTTCTCATTATGTGCATTGCAGAAAAAAACTAGTTTAGGTGTGTCTGCAAATTTGTTGGCAGCGAAAGATGTCGCTATGAGCTATTATTCCCATAGGATAGTATGAGAAAGTTTTGGGCAACTTCCCCAAAACCGGAAACAATTCCACTGCATGATGACAGTGCAACAAAACCTCTGGAGCTGGAAAATGTTATTCTGAAAGATGCATTCCTCCTGCTACACAGACCCAGTGAATAACTCCACTCACTGCAAACCCTAAGCACACTTTCACTGTTCACTTGGCATTAGAATTTCACATTTTTTAGAACTGGCACTTTAGCAGAGTGTGCTGTAGACATGGGATTTTCAGGTTAGTCACAATTCAAACCCTGAATAAAGCCAGCTACAAACCCAATCATTAACAGGCTGAAAACTTATTACCTTAAACAAAGAACCCAAACTGCCATAAATTATCCTGACAAACATTTGAGAAACTATTGTTTTTATTCGTAGTATCTTACTGACTTTTTACAAGGGCCTGTAGTGACAGGACAAGGGGTAACGGGGTTAAATTGAAAGTGGGGAGGTTTAGATTGGATATCAGGAAGAAGTTCTTCCTGGAGAGGGTGGTGAGGCACTGGCACAGGTTGCCCAGAGAAGCTGTGGATGCCCCATCCCTGGAAGTGTCCAAGGCCAGGCTGGATGTGGCTTTGAGCAACCTGGTCTGGTGGAAAGTGTCCCTGCTCATGGCAGGGGGGTTGGAAATAGATGGTCTTTAAGGCCCCTTCCAACCCAAACCAGTCTGTGATTCTATGATTATTAAAAAACCCAGGACCTTAACTTAGATAACAGATGCTGTTTTAAATGCTACTATCTTTTGAAGGTTGTTTTGGTTATTAAAGCTTTCATTTGCAGCTTTTTTTTTCCCTTAAATAATAAGTATTAGAAAGCTGGCCTCTGTGTCACCAGAAGGATATTGAGAACAGAGATTTCCGTGAGGTTTGCAAACTGAACACCACCGGCTGGGTTCATTTTCTCAAAACAAAATAAAAACCAGAAGCCAAGCACCTTCACAAAACTTACACTGTGCCGTAAAAAATCAAAACCTAATAAACTAGCCATCCCCTTAACTACAATTAACTGTAAATCATTTAATATTCATTCCCCTTTTTAGGACTAAAACCAATTAACTGACTGTTCTTCAACACACATGCACACACAAGCATCCCTTCTTAAAAGGGGGGAAAACCAAAAGAGGCAGTTGTATATTTGGAGCTCTTTATAACCTTAAATGTTGAAACATCAAAACTATTCATATGTTACTAACCACAGTGAAAAGTGGTAACTCAGTAATTATTCATCTGGAGGGTTCATACTTAAAAATTCTTTTAAAAGTTTTTTTAAAAAAGTAAATTATTTTTTTCACACCGATTCTCAAATTAGGAATGGCAGAAAACTCACATAGGACTACAAAAATTTAATAGAAAATGTAATTAAGGAGCAGGCTTTCAGGAACTGATGTTTCCAATAAAATAAACAAACACTGAGATTTATACCGAGTACAAGTGCTTCCAGTAAGCAAGGCCTCTAGAGATAAAATGTGTGAGTATGATTTGATATTACTGGTCTGAATGATTCTCCCTCAAGTGTTACAATCTAGTTCTATAAACTCTGAAAAGTCATAATATTCCTTATTTTGTATTCTAACCTAAGAGGAAGCATCACCTAGCAACAGAGAAATTAAGTTTTTCTTATTTGTTCCCAAGGGTAGCTAACAGAATAGTGTGACTAGGAAAGCATAATTTTTACGTAGCCCCAGTATCAAATAACAGTTCTTTATTCTCACATACACCTGGATACACAACGGATGCTGAGAATAGTATGCTTGCTGGTTTGCATGACTAGGGTCAAAGACAACTCCTATGGCTGGGGAGACAGTCAAATTGTTTCAGTATTCACAACACAACTGTGTGCCTCTGCTGCCTTTAGGAATGACAAACCATGTATTTCACTCTGATTCTGTGGCTATCGAATTTAAACGGCCTATATATCACATTTGCCTCATTTACCGGTCAGACAGATATATACTTCTTCCATGAAACATACAGCACTTTCATCTATGTGTCTCAGCAACTGAAGCTTAAGCATCTCTTCAGAAAGTCTGGATTGGTGGGATTTCCCAGTCCGGTGTGTATGTGTGTTGAAGAATAGCTGGTTAATTGGTTTTAGTCAGAAAAAGAGGAATGAATATTAAATGACTTAGTTAATTGTACTTAAGGGGGGGTGGTGGGGGTGGTGGTAGTGGCATTCTATAGGGTTTTGATTTGTTACTGTGCAGTATTAACTTTTGGGAAGGCACTTGGTCTCTTTTTTTTATTTCGTTTTGAGAAAATGTGTGTGCCTGCACATAAGAGCACATAAATGTACTGAGAGGTAGGGAAAACACATCTGCCCTCTCCTCTCAGACAAAACTTAGAGTGAAACAGGCAGAAGCAAGACATTATTCTGCACATACCAGGTGTTAGACACACTGAAAAAGGAGGCCAGACTTTTCAGTTGAAGTTATTTATTTTTTAAACATGAAAAACCTCAGGCCCTTTCACATCTCTAAATAAGCATGTGAAATTGTTAAGTAGATGAAAATTGAACTGCTTCTCATAGTGAGGAGGGTGGAACGGGGAAAAGAGGGAGGGACAGAAGTTAAACCTGGAATAACAAGATCATTTTAAATTACTTGATTAGAAACTCACTGAAGTATGTCACTGCACAAGCATAAACCCCTGTGTATGATTCTGTTAGAGCTGCAGGAGACAACTGCCTTGGCATGGATCAGAGGCTGCCTGGGATAATTACAATTCCTCCTATTTATATAAATTCATTCTATTTAATTGAGTTAAAATGTTTTTAATAGTTAAGTTGAAGGTACAGATGAACTTACAAGAGCATGTTAATATCTTTAGAAGTATGATGGAAGAGAAGTAAACCTTCACTAATGAGATAAAGTATACTCAACTTTCTCAGCCACAAAAGACTGTCATTAGGCTGACATTTCACATTAAATGGTCATATCTGCATTTTTAATGTTACCACTTCTGAGGCAACTGCACTGCTAGAAGATATGAGTGATTTATACTGTTAATATCTGCTTCATTTGAATTTCGAAAATTTTAGTTTTGACTTCTGTAAGAGAAACTGTTCTTAGAATAATTGCACTTTGAAATACCAGTCTTCCGAATCTGATGGCTACTGTCACTGCTGCATACATAAAGAAGGCACACTTAAATTTTTCCAAGTTGTTACACCTTGTGAATTGAGCCAACAGTTGTAGGTGATTTGCCTAAACTAAACTTGTTCAACATTTTATGAAGTCAAACAATGGGAATGCCATCACAACAAACATTTTTAATTTAGTCATCTTACAAACACTTTTAATTAAGTCATCTAACAAGCTGGCAAAATTCCTGGTAAAACAGACCTCACCTAAGCATAATTAAGGAAACATCTAACATAAATTGTGATGACATTGCCCTCACTTGCAGGGCTGTATTTTAAATTTAAGATAAAACAACAGTGCTTAGCTTTTTACATATGCTTACCTTGTGACTGCTTTGGTGCCTAAGAAGAAGTTCTAAATTCATTTTTCCTTCAGTTAGCATCCTTAGAAAACCTTTACAATGCAGAGCCTCTGTTTCACACTGCAGCCTTCTGCAGGTCTTTTGAGGTGTCTCTGTCCTCATTTGTTTGAAATCACCCAACGGTCAAACAGCCAGTGATCATGACTGCTTAAATCCCATTTCTTTAGCAAATGTAAAGAAAGCAAATACACTATTCTGCCACTGAGCTGGCGAGAAGAATAGGAAGAGATCACCAGTTCTGAAAGCCTGATTTTGCAGTGCTCTTATATTCTACGGATTATAAACAAAGAGCTTTGACTCTCAAGCTGCTGCATTTATCTCCTCCGGAGATTATATTCTTACTATTCTTTCTCTTCCCCTAGGGGATAGGATAAGGAATTGCAAGCTGGGTGGAATGGCCCCTCAGCTACCTCGGGTCGCAGTCTCAAGTACGAATTTAAACAGCCATCATTTCTCAGTTCTGTTAAGCACGTGAGTAATTCCTTTCAGGACTAAAGGAAAATACTGCAGCTGGCCAGACAATTAGTAGGACATTACCAACAGGTTTTGTTTAGCACATTATTGCATTTTAGTTATTTCATTTTCGAGACAGCACAGCTTGAACAGTATGTCTACCCTGTGGCTCAAAAATCATCTGGAAAATAAACACACAATTCACATTCTCAATAAAGGACTAGGAAACAGAGGAGAAGGTGTTTCCTCCTTCCATCCAGTGATGTATACTAGATGGATTCACTGTGACATAAATCACACCCTTGCTTGCTATTAAAAGATAATAAACTGACCTTGTGCACTTTGTGTCAATAGCTGTAGTTGCAATTACAATCTTGGGAGATATGTTACTAGAGTAGAAACAAAAAATTATTAAACATAAATTTTCATGACTGTCTCTCCAAAGCAAAATTTTCTTTCCTTCTTCTGTTTATTTTAGATAGTAATTTCCTTCCAACTCAGGACTTACAGGAATTGAAGAAACTGCTTTGTCTGCATTGCTCAACCATCACATTCCAAGGGGCAGAGATGGAACATCGTGTCTGGAAAGCCCATGCCAGGCTAGAATACGAACAGCAACTCCCTTTCCCGGGCACAGAAGCAAACCCTGAGAATGAAGACAGAAAGGTGTTTATATACAGGATATTTTCTTCTTTAAAGCAGCATTTCCTGCAAACACACACATCAGAAGAAAAACCAGTAATATTTACACATACACCTTAGTTTCCAAAGGGAATCAGACTTGAACATTCTGCCTTGAAGTTCAAACCAAGTTGCAGAAGAGGGGAGGAAATATTGTAATAGAAAGTGTCACAAGGAGAGGAAGGCTAGAAGGTGTATAACATATTGATGATAGACTGAGAATGCACCCTCAAAAAGTAGAAATATCGTCCTGTCCCCGAAATGTGAAATATTGTTCCTGGACAGAACCAAAAGTGATAAATACATCCATCATAAAATACATGCTATGAAAACCAAATCTGAAATCAGCCCAATAATCCTGTTCAACATCTTCATTAACGATCTGGATGGTGGGGCAGAGTGTACCCTCGGCAAGTTTGCAGATGATACAAAACCGGGAGGAGAGGTTGATACACCAGAAGGTCACGCTGCAATCCAGAGGGACCACGACAGGCTGGAGAGAAATGGGCTGACAGGAACCTCATGAAGTTCAACAAGGGCGAGTGCCAAGTCCTGCACCCTGGGAGGAACCGCATGCACCAACGCACCCTGGGGGCTGAACAGCCTGAAAGCAGCTTGGCAGAAAAGGGCACGGGGGTTCCTGGTGGCCACCAAGCTGACCATTAGCCAGCAACGTGCTCTTGCAGCGAAAAAGGCCAAGAGCATCCTGGGCTGCGTTAGGACTGTTGCCAGTGGGTTGAGGGAGGTGATCCTTCCCCTCAGCACACGTGAGACGAGCCTGGAGCAGTGTCCAATTCTGGCCTCCCCAGTACAAGAGAGACATGGACATACTGGAGAATTAGACATTAGCAAAAGGGTCTTCACTGAGAGGGTGGTCGCTTACTGGAATAGCTCCCCACGGAAGCAGTTGCCGAAGCAAGTTGGCCTATAAATGATCTTTTCATATACATGAGCACATCTACCGATAATTTCCTTGAAAAAGCTTCTTTTAATACAAAGATTTAATAACTCCTAGTTCTTAACACCTTTTTGAGAAAAATTAGGTTAAAAAAAAAAAATTGGGACATTTATGAGCAGATGCACTGGTTCAGGCTCGTGGCCTGAGTAGTTCAGTGTTCTGTCTCTGGTAAGCACTACAAACAGCTGCCTGGGGAAGAGTAAAAAGTAAACAAATATGTACAATACTGTCCTCCTCTGAATTTTCTCAGCCCAACTACTTTCAGTACAGCTGGTTTCCTCAGAACCATGCAGACATGCTGGATCCACAACACTCCTTGGTAAGGAGTTCCACACATCTACTACTCACCACACAATGAACCATATGCTTTCTATTACATTGTCACAAAAGCATATTCTAAATTCTCTTCTAGGAAACAATACATTCATTTTGGAAAACAAAACATGAGAATATTAGACAGTTTACTTCATCATCAAAAATATTTGCAGTGCAATTTGCTTTTGGTTGTTTGCTTTACTCCTACTTTCATCAACAAAAAAAGCTCCATATTCTAAATAGTCCCCTGAAATTATCATGGACATCTGAAAAAAGTCTGTAAAGAGGCAATAAACGACCACAGTAAGAAGAATCAAGAGACAGTGGAATCAGATGAATAACTGCTGCAGAAATAAAATTCTCACAGAATGGCTGGGGCACAGAAGAGAAGAAAAAGTCAAATGTCAGAAAAAGAAGGAGCCAAATAAACACCGGGATGATAGAAAAATGTCAGAAGACTTTCAACTGATCTCAAGAAGTCTGGTGATCCAAAATTATTTTTTAAAAAGTACTACAACTTTCAACTACTACATTTTGTAACAGAAGTGTTAAAGCCCAGGGCGAGATCCTGGCTTCGCTGAATCCAGTAACAAATCTCCCATTTTCTTTAAGGATTCAATCTTTTTTTAAAGTAAGAGCAATTTACACTTTTAAGACTGGCAGCAAAAGAACACATGTTCTGAGCTGGCAATCAAAATTTTATGTCCAGGAAAGTCCAGCAGCTGTGGTGACTATAGTCTGGACACTGGGAGATGAGAGTGTTTTGGTCTCTGAACTACAGCAGAACAAAAGAAGGAGGAGGAAGACATGGGGGGAAAAAAAAAAGGAAAAAAAAAAACCACACCACAACCCACACGATTCCCAAAGTCTGAAACACTGAGTGCTGGTATTTATTAAATTATACCCACACTCTTCTGTACACGTACTGCTACCAAGGGAATACAGACTTTGAAAGAAGAGCAAAGAATAACAATATTTATGGAATGTAAACAGTTTGAAATGTCGTGTCTCAATAAACCAGCGTTTTGACATGTGAGTATGTACAGTTAATGCATCATATCCTCCATTCCCTATACATCATCCAAACATCCACGATGAAATCTGTATTTACAATCCAAAGTGCTTCTTTCAATAAGCTATTCAAAACTGCATGAGAAGCAAGACAGGTCACGAATGCTGGACTGATGTCTTGCCACCAGCAAAAGACACAAGGACAAAGCAGAAGAAAAAAAAAATGCATGCTTACTATATGTTAGCTCAGAGCTCATTTCAAATAAAATGTAGTCAGTGATACTTACTTCCCTGCAATTACAATTAAAACCCTGCACTGACTTTTAAGTGTTGTCTTTCAACTGGCTAAATACGAAAATTTATGCAAGTATAAATATACATATAATCAGCACTAAAAATTCACTTAACAAAAACACTATAAAACCATTTCATTCTTCTCATAAGATGCAACAGAAGAATGAATCTCAAAAAAGGTGGAAAAGCAAACCTAACCAGTTAACAGTCTTATTTCTACAAACTTTAAACCCCTAACAGTTTTCTGCCTAACACTCTCCCAGTTCACAAACAAGTATACTACTTTACTGTACCCATTTCGTTGTAACTTTCCTAACCTTTATTTCAGTTACAGTGGTTTAACACGCCAGCTTTAGGAGACTCATGCACAGGATGCAGCACCTGTCACCACCCAATGCCCAAAGTTAGCATGCATTGCCAATTTGCTTGCACTATCACCTAACAGCATGCCGAACATCCACACATTTACTTTAATAGTGACTGCAGTGTTCAGCAAGCCTGAGTGCTAATTTTGCTTTTTTAAAACACCTGGCAACAATAAAATAATACCCTCTACTCCCATAATTATTTTCTACAGGAATTAAACACAGAAAACTCTACTTACTCAGTTCCGTACTCGAGAGAAAGAAACAATGCATGAAGTTGGTTTCAGCAGTGAGAAAGTGAGAACTGCACTGTAAAAAAACTTTTTTAAAAAAGCCACCAAGATGCTGATTTTGTGGTGATAATTAGAACTTTGGAAAAATTGCCCAAGTGTAGTTCCAGACATACACATGGGAGGCTCTAGGCTGAAATAATCACAACATTCTCAAAAGGTATATGCACAAGAAAACAGAGATGTTCTGATTAAATTCCAAATTCTGAAGAATTTCTGAAGATACCAAGCACTATTAACTCAGCCTCTAACGGGGCAATGAAGCTGTGGGTGTCTTCTGTCTGGGTTTTTTTTTTTTTAGTTTAACATTTTGCTTGCTGCTTTTCATTCAAATGAAACTGTTATGCACAGAAATAATACATTCAAACAAACAATTGCAACAGGGAAGACGCTTCAGAATCGTTACTGTTTTTCCATATCATCTCTTAAGTGCTCAAGCAAGGCCCATGCAGTAATGAAAACTTTGCACCGATACAAACTGCTTTTTAAAAAAACCTCCTGCTGCCTTGGAAAAATCTTGATGTGCAGAACTTATCAAACTAAAACCCATGCATTTAAAATCACAGCACATGGAAAGAGTTCTGGGCATGGAACTCAAAAGTAATCGAATCTTAGCAAAAGACAGAGCCTGAAAAGACACAGATTATTTTAATAAATTATTTAGGAGCAGTTGCAGCCTTTTACTTTTCCTGGTCTACTTGAAAAATAAAATTTTTTTTAAAATAGTTTTTTAGGATATACTCTGTGACTAGACAGTGATCAAGGAAACACCACTGATTTCCTTTTAAACCTTCCTGAATGCTCAGGCTTTAATTGCAGTTTGGCTATAGAATAGGCATCACTTCATTACAGATTGCCCTGAGGAAGAAAAGAGATCAGAAATTCATTAACTGCTTAGATTATTTTATTTTTTTTCCCAGGAGTGGAGGCAAAGAAGATTTTAGGAGACTTCAGAAGCTAAAAAAAAAAAAGCTAGATAGCTTTATTTTGCCTTTAAAGTTGGGGAAGAAAGAAGTGACATTTTGGTTGAAAGCAAAAAACATTCCCAGCTTCCAGCTGTTCTGATATCAATCTTGAATATACTTTAACAAATGTAACCTGGCCTTTCTTCCCACCTCAGTCGCCAGCTTTCCCTTAAGAACACAAAGGCATTAACAGTGGGGAGGCACTGGGACAGGTTGCCCAGAGAAGCTGTGGATGCCCCATCCCTGGAAGTGTTCAAGGCCAGGCTGGATGAGGCTTTGAGCAACCTGGTCTAGTGGAAGGGGTCCCTGCCCATGGCAGGGGGGGTGGAACTGGATGGGCTTTAAGGTCCCTTCCAAACCAAACCCTTCTGTGATTCTACTTCTGCCTCAAACGTAAGTGCATACAAGCTACCCAGGCTGTATGCACCTATCTATTCTGAGACAGGTTGACCAAGATTAATTAGCAGGGTGCATAGCTGATGGCATACAATGACTCTAACAAGAAGTCACTTTGGAGGAAGTGAAAACAAAAAGAGACAGAAAGACATAACATGCATCCCACGGCAGTCTCCAGTGCTGCAAATCATTTTCCCCCACAAGAATTTCCCATAGCATGTACATACTTTTTGTCAGGGACCTAGCAGACTCCTCACTGCATACATTCAGGCTGGTTGGCTGTTCAGCACTATGAAGGACTATCATGGGTCACATGGACTAAGGTGGTTTGCTTTTTAATTCAAATGTTGTTTTCTTCCCGTTCCTTCTACCTTTGCCTAATGAATCCAAACCTAGAACCCAGAAGAAAGCAAAAC